GCTGGAGGGGGTGGATGGGCTTGGTTTGGACCATCATTGTCAAGAGTAGTTGGAGTATCCTTTATTAACTGCATGATACGAAATGTACAATGCAATTACAAAAAATGCCAGCCATTGATAAACTGAAGCACAAACACTATTGCTATATGAAATGCAACGTATCATTAAAAGAAGCACAACCATTGAACTAAACTGCACAAGATTGTTGCAATATGAAATGTGTCATGCAAATTACAAATTAATGCAAAGCCATTGAGAAACTGCAGCTCATGCAAAGTTGCAATATGAAGTGCACCATTCAAATAAAGGAGGCACAATCATTGAAAAACGACACCATATCCATTGTTGCAACATGAAATATACCATGCAGTTAGACGTCAGTCATCTCAGCTTCAGGACATCTCTGCAGGAGTTCCTCAGGGTAGTGTCCTAGGCCCAACCGTCTTCAGTTACTTCATCAATGACCTTCCCTCCATCCTAAAATCAAGATTGCACAATGTTCAGCACCATTTGCAACTCCTCAGATAGTGAAGCAGACCATGTTCAAATACAACAAGATCTGGACAGTATTTAGACTTGGCTGACAAGTGATAAGTAACATTCACGCCACACAAATGCCAGGCAATAGTGGAATGAACTGCCACTGGAAGTGGTAGATGCAGGTACAGTTACAACATTTAAATGACATTTGGATAGGTACATGAATAGGAAAAGTTTATAGAGATATCATCCAAATGCAAACAAATGGGACGAGTTTAGTTATGACTTTATGACTCTATAAGAGGTGATCTAACCACTGCCTTTGACATTCAAAGGTGTTACTATCACTGAACTATCAACATCCTGGAGGTTACCATTGACCAGAAACTCAATTGGACTCATCACATAAACACAGTGGCTATGAGAACAGGTCAGAAGCTAGGAATACTGCAGAGAATAACTCAACTCCTAACTCCCAAAAGCCTGTCCACTCTCTACAAGGCACAAGTCAGGCGTGTGATGAAATACGCCCCACTTGCCTGGATGTGTGCAGCTCCAATAACATTCAAAAAGCTTGACACCATCCAGGACAAAGCAGCCCACTTGATTGGCACCATATTCACAAGCATCCACTCCCCCTACCACCAATGCTCAGTAACAGCAGTGTGTATTATCTACAATAAAAACTGAAAGAACTGCGGATGCTGTAAATCAGGAACGAAAACAGAAGTTGCTGGAAAAGCTCAGCAGGTCTGGCAGCATCAGTGAAGAAAAAATCAGAGTTAACGTTTCAGGTCTGGTGACCCTTCCTCAGAACTGCTGAGTTTTTCCAGCAATTCTGTTTTTGTACTATCTACAAGATGCATTGCAGAAATTCACCAAAGATCCTTAGACAGCATCTTCCAAACTCACGACCACTTCCATCTAGAAGGACAAGGGCAGCAGACATATGGGAACACCACCACCTCCAAGTTCCCCCTCCAAGTCACTCACCATCCTGACTTGGAAATATATCGCTGGTCCTACACTGTCGTTGGGTCAAAATCCTGGAATTTCCTCCCTAAGGGCATTTTGGGTCAACCTACAGCAGGTGGACTGCAGCAGTTCAAGAAAGCAGCTCACCTCCACCTTCTCAAGGAGAACAAGGGACGGGCAGTAAATACTGCCCAGCCAGCGCTGCCCACATCCCACAAGTGAATTTTAAAAAAGTGAAATTAAAAGAAGCACAGCCATTGAGAAACTTCACCATGTGCATCATTTCAATATGAAATATATTGGGTAATTTCAAATTAATACACAGCCATTGAGAAACTGCACCACATGCAATGTTGCAGTGTGAAATATGAGAGGAGAAGGTTTTAAAGGGAACAGAGAGGCAACATTTTCACACAGAGGGTAGTTCATGTGTGGAATGAACTGCCAGAGAAAGTGGTAGATGCAGGTACAGTTACAACATTTAAAAGACATTTGACAGGTACATGAATAGGAAAGGTTTAGAAGGAAATGGGCCAAATGCAGGCAAGTAGGACTAGGTTAGTTTGGGAAACTTGACGGTGGGGTCTGCCTCCTAATCAATACCTCCTGGTGCTCAGATGTGGTGACCCTGGCGAGTTACTGTTGCCCGGATCTAGAATATCCTACAGTAACGTGTCGTCCCTACTACCTTCGGCGTGAGTGGTCTACATCCAAACCCATGTGCAAGTGAAGAGTGCAATTGACGAAATATGCAACGCTACAAACAGTCTTGAGACAGAATATCCCGAGGCCTTGTTCATCATAGTCGGTGATTTCAATCAGGTCAACTTTAAGAATGTGCTACCAAAAATGCCATCAATACATCTCCCATCCCATCAGATGTCTGAACATCCTTTACCATTGCTATGCAACTATCAAAGATGCCTACTGTTCCATCCCCTGTTCGCATTTTGGAAAATCAGATCACAACGCCGTGATCCTCCACCCTGTTTGCAAGCAGAAATTGAAATGTGCGGAACCAGTGCAGAAAGTAGTGCAGTGTTGGTCTTGAGGCAATGGAAGACCTGCTATGGGACTGCTTAGATTTACTGGACTGGTCCATATTTGAGAACTCAGCAGTCAACCTAAATAAATATGCCACTACCGTTACAGACTTCATTAGTAAGTGTGTAGAAGACTGCATGCCGAAGAAGTTAATCCAAATGTTACCCAAACGGAAACAATGGAAATCCACTTCTGACTGAAGTCCAGGTCTGAGGCATACAAGTCGGGCAACCCTGACCTATACAGGAAATCCAGGTGTGACCTCCTTAAGGCCATCAGAAATGCCAAGAGGCAATACCAAACTATACTTGAGATGCAGACTACCCACACAGACACCCATCATTTGTGGCAAGGCTTACACAACATAATGGGCTACAAATCGATGTCGGCCAGAATCGCAGACAATAGTACATCCCTACCTGACAAGCTCAATGCATTCTGTGCTCACTTTGAACAGAAGGTTAGTTAAATGATGTCACCCATCCCAACAGCCTCAGATGTACCCATACGCACAGTCACTGCTGTAGATTTTAGATCAGCCTCCTTCAGTGTGAACCACAGAAAGCGACTGATGTGGATGGAGTCTCTGCTGTGCACTCAGATCCTGTGTGGACCAGCTGGCAGGAGAATTCATAGAGATCTTTAACCTCTCCTTACTGTGATCTGAATTCCCCACCTGCTTCAAGAAAACCACCATCATCCCGGTGCCAAAGAAAAACCATGCAGCGTGCCTCAACAACTACCACCCAGTGGCCCTGACCTCCATAATTATGAAATGCTTGGAGAGGTTAGTCATGGCTCACATCAACTCCAGCCTACTAAACTGCCTTGACCCTTTGCAATTCGCCTACTGGCACAACAGGTCCACAGCAGATGCCATTTCCCTGGCCCTGCACTCATCCCTGAACATCTCGATAACAAGGATGCCTACATAACGCTCCGACTTATTGACTACAGTTCTGCCTTCAACATCAAAATTCCAAACAAACTCATCTCTAAGCTCCGAGACTTAGGTCTCGGCTCCCCCTCTGTAACTGGATCCTCGACTACCTGGCTCATAGACCGCAATCAGCAAGGATAGGCAACAACACCTCCTCCCCAATAATCCTCAACACTCATGCCCCACAAGGCTGTGTACTCAGCCCCCTACTATACTCCTTACAGTCTCACGATTATGCGGCCAAATTTCCCCCCAACTCTATTTAAAAGTTTGCTGATGACACAACCATTTTAGGTCAGATCAAACAACGATGATACAGAGTACAGGAAAGAGACTGAGTCCTTAGTAGCATGGTGTAAAGACAACAATCTCTCCATCATCATCAGCAAAATGAAGGTGCCGGTCATTGACTTCACGAAGTGGAGTGGAGGGCACGCCCCTGTCTGCATCAATAGTGCTGAGGTAGAGATGGTCGAGACCGTTAAGTTCCTGGGAGTGATGTTCACCGACAATCTGTCCTGCTCCACTCACGTCAACACAACAGTCAAGAAAGCACAAGATCTCTACTTCATCAGGAGACTACGGAAATTTGGCATGTCCACAATGTCTCTTACCAATTCTTATAGATGCACCATACAAAGCATCCTATCTGGATGCATCATAGCTTGGTATGGCAACTGCTCTGCCCAAGACTGCGAGAAATTACAGTGTTGTGAACACAGCCCAGTCCATTACACAAACCAGCCTTCCATCCATTGACTCCATCTACACTTCCTACTGCCTCAGGAAAGCAACCAACATAATCAAAGACCCCTCCCACCAAGATTACACTCTCTTCCACCCTCTTCCGTCAGGCAGAAGATATAAAAGTTTGAATGCACGTATGAAGAGATTCAAGAACAGCTTCTTCCCGGCTATTATCAGACTTTTGAACATATTCCTCAAATGTTAATGTTGATCTCTCTCTCTGCACCTTCTCAGCAGCTATAACACTGTACCCTGCACACTGTTCTGCTACCCTGATGCACTTTCTAAGGTACAGTCTGCCTGTATAGCACGCAAAACAAACACTTTTCACTGCATCTGGTACATGTGACAACAACAAATCAATCAATCGAAACTTGGTCAGGCATGGACAAATTGGACTGAAGCGTGTGTTTCCGGACTGTGCGACTTCATGACTCTGAAACAGAGCCAATGAGAAACTGCACCATGTGCATTATTGCAATATGAAATATATCACGCAATTAAAAGCTCAGCCATTGAAAACAGCTCTACATGCATTGTTGCAATATGAAATGCATTGTAATTAAAAGCAGACATTTAGAAACTGCACCACATATATTGCTGGGCTAATATGAAATGTATCATGCAATTAAAAGCAGACATTTAGAAAGTGCACTACATAGTTGTAAATATGAAATGTATCATGCAATTAAAAGAAAGGCCATTGAGAAACTGCACCACATCAACGTTGCAACATAAAATATATCACGCAATTAAAACCAGCTATTGAGAAACTGAAGCACAGGGACTGAGTCTGCGCTGCTGAGCCCAAGGCGCAGGCGCAGTGAGGTGTTTGCTTCCGGGTTTGCACAGGGGCTGTGAGAGGGGGATCGTGCCCCGGGAACTGCAGCTGTCAATCAAACCGTCCCGGGAACTGCAGCTGTCAATCAAACCGTCCCGGGAAGAGCGGTGCAGCGGAATCAATATAAATCCATGTTCGGAATCTTCTACACCGCCTGCTTCTGCATAGTTATCGGAGCGGGGGGCCATAATGCAAAAGGCAAAGAAATGCAGGCGGAGGAAATGGCTCAATACAGGTCAGTGCTGCTGGCCTTGCATTGCCTGAAGGAAATAGGGTTGCAAAAGGGAGTTCCTGATTAGTCGTGGGCAAGATAAGCCATCGCCGCAAATAAATGCACCTCTTCCTTAAGTTTCCTGGGAGTAGAGGTTCTGATGTGGCTTTTTTTTATTCGTTCACAGAATGTGAGTGTCGCTGTTTATTACCCACTTGCAGTTGTCCTGCAGAAGGTGGGACTTGAACCTTTATACCGTCTGACTTGGTGATGGGGAAACATTGCACTACATTTGACACGATGGAAAAGTGTTCTTAGGTTTGAGAACTGTGCCTTAGCCTTTCACCTTTCTGAGCAAGCATTGGGCTGCTTAGACAAAGCACCATTGCAACCCCAAACTTCTACTGATAAATCGGGGTTTACTAGTTTGTTCTTTCTTGACATCACTTTGCCTTCTGACAAAAAGTTATAGGTGGAGGTTGACTTTAATTTCCTGGTGCAGTTCTGAATTATGGTTCCCGATGCAACACTAAACCTCTGGCACTTGAGAAGCTAACATAGAAAGATGTACAGTACAGAAAGGGGTAGTAGGAACTGCAGATGCTGGAGAATCCGAGACAACAAGGTGCAGAGCTGGACGAACACAGCAGGCCAAGCAGCAGCA